GCCCAGCTGTCCTCCAAATTTGAAAACAGACATTCTCCAAGTAGGGGTGGTTTAGGGCCTAGGGTTGAGGTCAGTGACATGACATTTATTAACCGCTAAGTCTCGTGGCCCAGCAACAACTAATGAGGGCTCCATAGACCCCAACAGCCTGTGAAATGCCAGCTCACTAGTCACTAGGCATTACGCGGTTTAGGCTTTAGAGTGTAGGGTTTAGTAAGGGATTACAATAGTACTCCCCAAAGGTACCCCCCCAGGGGTCAAGGAGCTAATAAGGACTATATAGGGCTTAATAGGGCGTAATAGGGTTCTGAATCTGGGGGGTTGCCTTTGTGGGGGGGTACTATTGCAATCCCTTATGTAGGGTTCAGGTACGAGTATTTGCTGCCAACATCTTCGAGTCCACCTCAAATCAACGAATTGTCGACACTGGAGTAGTGGTGAATACCTTCCTGACCTCTGACGCTAAATCCTAAAACATAAACCACGCCTGAAAATCATCCTAAACCCTAAACCCTTGAAAGAACCCCAAACCCAAAACCCTAAACCCTAAAGGCCCTAAACCCTGAACACTAAACCCTGGCGAGCATTTTCAATAAAGAAACATTAACAGAAATCACCTCCCCCTGAAAACAGAGGCTGATAAGAACGTGTGTACTATGTAAGATGGTAAACCCTCACATGTCATGAGACCATAAGGGAACCCACGACGGAGGGGCCACAAGACAAGTACAAGGCAAGGCGGCACATTCAGAGGAAGGATGGAGACTACAAACCTCCGGTGAGCGCAGCACCAGGCCAAACATGACAGGAGACTCCAGCACGCCCAATCCGACCGGAAGGGGTTTCAGCCAATTCGGGCCGGCTCCGCCTACAGGTGGATTTCACACGGACGGCGAGGAAGGAAAAGAGATGCCTACCTTCACTCGGCATGAGGAGCAGGAGCCAGCTGGATCGGACGGGCTTCGAGCCGTCGGTGAGCCCTGCGGCGCCTGTCGATTGACCGCGCGGCAGGGCGGCAGAGCACCACAGCCAGCTTGTTCATGATCTCCTGCTTCACCGAGGCGGGGTCTCTCCGCAAAACGGCGGCAGCCTCGATGGCAATACCATGGACAATGGCCGCAGCATCCTTGTGAAAACCACCCTGTGCCTCAAGCACAACTGGTTGGAAGTGTATGCATGTGGCACTTTCGGAAGGTGTCCAGGTGGGAGCGTTTGAGGTCAGCATATGCCGCCGCAGCAGCCCCAGCAGCCCCGTCAGTGGCACGCCAATGCCTTTCACCCAGTGCATTGATGACAGCGACATCCAGAGCAATGGGTCTGGGGCAATGTTGCCGGGTGCCATCAGGGAGGCGCTTGAGGAGGAGGCCAGGCTTGCAGAGAAAGACGTCCGCTGGTCGTCTCCCCCCCTCCAGCTCCAGCTCGCCGAGGAGGTTGGGAGCCTCCAATGTTGGGCGCAAGCCCCCCGAGTCACAATACCCTTATCCCTAAAGCCAATATCGTTCCGAGACCCCTCATAGAGCTGTGGCTGCAGGTACTGTGCGGCCGGGTCAGTCAGACCCCGGGGTCCCGTCGGCTATATGTGTATTATATATATATATGTATATACGCATATATGAGCCCTGGACTTAATGTGTAGTATATCTATCCGTTACTAGGTCCCCCCCTGGGTCCCCCCCCAACCTAAATTTCGTCCGTAGCTCATATATATGTACACATACACACACACATATATGTATAGAACAACACGATTATATACAGAAGCGATAACCACTTTTTCTAAGTTAATAGCAACATAAGAACAGTTCTACAATACTACTAATAGTAATAATCCTCACATAGTATAAGTTTTAGAGTCTAGGGTGTATTGTACTAGGGCTTTCTAATTACATGGGGAATTGTTAAGCCTTAAGTATATACTACGGTGAATGGAGGAAATCTTGCAATACATGATACCCTAGAAATTCCATTGCATTGGGAGTCGTGCAAAAGTTCATCCATCCAACGTATGTACCCAGATGAGCTATAGTCTAAACTCCTAGTATCCTCCTTAATATCCCCTAATGCAGTCCCCTAGATAATGCCCTATATATCCCCCCTCAAGGAGTTTAGACTACAGCTCACATGGGCCCTCGGCGACTGATCCACTGCAGCTCTGAGGGCGGAGCACCTATCTCCCTGGCCCTCAGGCTCTTGAGGCCGAAGATGTCCATGATGTCCCAAGAAATCCTGGAAAACATCAAGCCTTGGGTACTGCCCCCCACCCAGTAACAGTCTATACTAGGGGTCCTATTCAGGGCTATATGTAACTATATTATAAAGAATTATCCAACTGCTACTGAAAGGGGGCAGTACCCAACATCAAGCCCTTGAGCGGATTAACTTATGAAATAGGATTTAAGGCTTAGGGCTTAGGGAAAAAATGCAGGGCTCATAAGTTGGCTGTGGTGCATAACATGGAGCTAAGAATTACTTGCTAAACAGACCTGACTAATCACCAAGATGATTTTGAGGACGTGTTGAACCACCCTATGCCATAATTGAACGGGAATCTGGGACCACAACGTTGGTAATTATTAAGGCTTCCATATTGGGTTGTTGGCCGTTGGGGAAATCGATTTTCTTGGGCTGCGGCAGACAAATCTTTCAGCCAACTTGAACAGGATGGGGCTGTGATAGACCCATACAGGATCCCAAAAATGGAGCGCCCCAACAAATTGGAAGCCTTGAAATCACCTAAAGCCTGCTCCCCTAACCCTAACCCTAAACCCTGAACCCCTAACCCAAAACCCTAGATCCTAAACCCTGAATTCCTAACCCCTAAACCCCTAACCCCTAACCCCTAAATCCCTAAGCCCCTAACCCTAAATCCTGAACGGGGATCCTTCAGAGGATTTGGAAAAACCGCTGCCATGTCAATCCAAGGCCGAGGCAAGTACAAGCCTTCGGCCAAGGACTGGCCTATGGTTAGCTGGGGATGCAGGAATCGAAAAGAGAACGGAAACTACTATAGGGCTTAGATTTGGGTGAGGATGAAAGAATGGAAAAAACATGGAGACTACAACAGGGTTTAGACTTGGGTGAGGATGAAGGAAAGGAAAAGAAAATACAAACTACTTCAGTGCGTTATATAGGGACTACTATAAGGATCCATTCCTTCATTCCTAGCTAACAAAAGACCAGAAGGACAATCAAAATGTGGCGATGCCAACGAGGTGTATTTGCGTTCAGGGTTTAGGGTTTATGGTACATGCAGGCAGGAAAATGCACCAATTCTGGAGCCCCAAGCCCTGAAGCCCTCCATCCTAGACCTCAGACCCCAAACCCTGAGCCATAGCCTGTAAACCTTAAACCCTAAACCCTGAGCTCTAACCCCTAAACTTGGAGCCCTGAACCCTAAGACCCCTAAACCCACCCTAACCCCTGTAGTCCGCCTTCCGTAGATAGAAAAAGGATGGAATTGCACGACAGCATAGTAAGAACCACAGCATACCCCATATTCTGCCGTCTCAAGGGGCCGCATGATAAAGAATAACGCATAGGGTCTAGAGTAAGGTCCCCCTATTCATGGAAACCCTAGACCCTAAATCCTGATTGAGCCCTCAACCTCTTTAGGGGGACTATAAACTGAGCTAGGGTAGTTTTGGGGGGGCCCAAACGAATGAGATTTGTATGGCTCAAAATAAGGTATGATGTAGGTATTAACGGAATACAAAAATTGTGTAGGTATTAAAGGAATGCAACAACACTTTCTAATCTACCCCTGTCAGCTGGACCACCTGCGCAGGTCCATCATCCATTCTTGGCCTCGGATGGCCAGGCTTACTGAGGCTTGGCATCTTTCTTGCTGTTGAGGGTTTAGGCTCCGCCTAAACCCCCAAAGTAGGTAAAATAATGGCCCAAAACCCCTAAATATAGCCAAAAGGGCCATTGTTCTACATACTTTTTGGGTTTAGGCCCCAGGGATTTTAGGGCTTAGGGATATGCATCTGGAATGTAGGTCCTCTGGGATGCTATTTTCTGTGCAGCCAATGGTTATTCTAGAATCAACTGATGATACTTAGAAGAGATAAGCCTAGAAATGAAAATAACTAAACCCAGGACATAATCTAATGTTAACTAAATCTGGACCTGCTACATTCTTTCTATATTGAACTCTTCTGTGTGTAGGGCCTATCATTGGAGGTGTCGTGCGTTCCTTGGTCTCATGCGTTCCTTTCCTTCCCTTTTCTTGTCCTCTTTCGTTTTAGGAATAACAAATATCTATAGCAGGATCGTGTGGGATGTCTAAGAGATTCTACTCCCTCCCCTGACACACCAACACGTTTTTAGGGAGGCTCCTGAAAAGATGACGCCTTCATCGGCTGCAGGAGTGAATTTTCATCAGGATTCCATGGACGGTCGCAACAAGAAGCTGTGCATGTGCAAAACCTGCAGTTCTGATGAGGGTACACTGAAGCTGTTTCAAAACTATGCAGGCGCCAAGATGGCCCCATCCACTATGCAAAGCCACTGCGCGCCCACCCCTTGTTTTCCTCAAGAACCATTATAGTCGCAGTCGAGCAGGCGTCAAAATCCTAAGCTGCTGGTGCGTCCGCAAGGTAGGTTTTTCCGACCTTCTCTTCCTTGGCAACCATCAACCAGAGGTATCCTAGACCTACAGGTACCCCATGGCAAATTAGGAGGGGGTGTTTCGGTGACTACAGCGAACATAACGCCGGAATGAAAAGTGAATGGATGCAGGACTCGTCTAGTGAGTCAGGTGTTCCCGCTACCGAACACCCAGCACAAGATGGGGTTCAGGGTTCAGGGTTTTGCTTATCCAACGCTTTCCAGTCTTGGGGGAAGGGGAGTGCCTTTTATGGAGGTACATTTGGGGACGATATAGATATGTGTCAAGCAAGGTTTCCCTCGCCAGGATTTTGTGGAAACAGCCATTTCAGAAAACTTCCAGAAGAACCTGCCAAAAGGACTGAAGGTTCCAGCTGCCTTGCCTCGTTCGCTCATTCGGAGTACAGCAAGAGGCCAGCAATCAGAATCACCACAATGGCCAAGAACTCAAGGAAGCCTCAGTACCAAGAGCGAGACAAAATGGTGCTAAGGGCGGCGTGGTTTTGGGGATAGAGCTCTTTTTCTCTGAAGGTCTGGTGCCGAACATCTATGCCCAAAAGAGCGGAAGAGGAAAAGTGAACACGAAAACCTTCCAAGTCAACGGGGTGTAACGTCACAAATGGGTTCCCTTCGGTTTGTAGGATCCACGTCTTGAGGACCTTCACAGCGTATACCCCAGCCCCTACAACTCTAAAGTCCATTTCGCTTCCACTTTCTCTACCATGAGCTTTTCCACTGTTCTAGCAAGCCCTACATCACCACGGTAGCCCCCTTCAAGGGGCCTAAACCCTAAACCCTAACCCTGTACAATATTCCCGGGCCTTCATCATCACAGCGAGGTTGGTTAAATTGTCGAGACACCACGTACTGGATTCTCTCGAAAGCTAGGGTTTAGTGCTTAGGTTTTCGGGCTTGGTGCTTTGTGTTTAGGGATTAGTTTTGGGGGTCTAGGGCTTAAGGGCTAGGACTAAAAAACAATTCTAGGTGCTACACTGCCGTACATTGAGACTGAAACGGTATAAGACTGGAATCTGTTACAGAAGCTACAGAGACAAAAGACTGCAAACCCTACTTCCCTTGCCTGTAGAGTGCATCCCCTTCCAGCAAAGTCATAATTCTGTGAACTTGTTGTTCCTAATTCTTGGTGTGATTGCAAAAAGGGCGGTACTAAACCCTAAACCCTTTCAGAGGCATCCATACCTTAAACCCTAAAGCAGCCCTAACCTTCTTCAGAGGCGCCCATCCCAATCAAGGTGTAGGTGAACAAGTCCTCCTTCATGGAAGGATTTCGAGCCATGCCGACCACAAGGGCTGCGAAGAGTTGTCCAATGCCCTGGAAAGCCGCGTAGGGTACCCAGTCGTGCAGAGTCGTATGGGTAGTTCCCAAAATTAGCGTCCACTTTGGTACCCCAAATATTGGGTGACGTAATTTAGTCCATAAACTGAAAGGCCCACATTTTTGAGAACAACCAATATGGAAAAGAAAATTCAAAATAGAATGGAAAGTATAGCTTTTAGGGGTTTAGGGTTGTTGGGCTTGAGGGTTTAGGGTTTTAGTTTTGCAGGACAAGAGAACTGTGTGGTGGGCAGGAATTGGCCTGGGATGATCCTCCAACCGACGGCCCAACTCATTTACACATGGGTGGTTGTCAAAATTATGGTCCCTTTTTTGGGTACCCTAAATATTAGGTGCCGTATTATAATAGGGATCCAAAGAGGGACCAAAATTTTGACAACCACCCGCATGAAATAAATTCCAGATGGGGAGTTAGCAGGCGGGTACCCGTACGTAAGGCGTACGTGAGGCTTAGTGCCAACAGTCATAGGGATTGGGTGTCTGGAAGGCGCATCTTCGTGACCGTCGTGACTTTTGGAGTCTGATTCTGTATACAAGATTCCAAACATACCGACAGTCACAGGGATGGGCCAGGTTGGGGCACGATCACGATCCTGTGGTAGGTTTTGGTATTTGAACAGTTCTGATATCCTACCATGAATAGCTTACGTGTCCTTCTAAGACCCGCAACAATCCTCAGAAACACTGCATGCTTATACGAAAGAAACTACCCACCTGGATATTCCTTAGAACAAAGGGAAGTCATGGGGCCCTAAACCCTAAAAATCCCTAAACCCTGAACCCTGGGCTCTAGACCCTCAAGCTCGACCTCTCGGGGGTATTACTTTAGATTGAGGAGTTCTTACACCAAATGACCTGCTAACCCTGTGAGGGTCTGGGGTTTAGGGTCAGAACAAGCAGTGTTCTTATGGGGTCCCATGCGGTATCCTAGACCCTGAACCCTAAACCCTAAACCGTAAACCTTAAACCTTCACTCCATGGACCCTACACGTACTCCAAATGCATATAGCGCTGGGCTGTCTTAGTCATAGGGCTCTCGGTTTAGGATTAGGGTTGAGGGTATCCATTCGTTGGTAGGCACCGTAGGCCTTGTAAACTTTGCTCTGGGGATCTAAGTCTACCCTAAACCCTAAACCTTTCCCTAGTTTTGGGGCCGAGAAACAAGAATTCGTAAAATGGTATAGTCCCCCTTGAGTAGATAGAATATGGGATATATGGGGAACTAGTTATAAAAAATACCAGAGCAATATTCTATCTACCTAAGGGGACTATACCTGCTTGGGGCTGTTTGGATCCCCCCAAAATTTTGTCAAGCCTAAGTCACCCGGCCTGAGCACAGCCACCGACAGCTACCTGAGTTGCTGGTAAGGTTTAGGATTAAGGGGTTTTGGGTCTAGGGGTCTAGGGTTTAGGATTTAGGTTTCAGGGCTAAAGGACTTAAACTAATCAGGGCAAACATCTCCAGTGGAGTCTACAGAAGGTTATCCTGGCTGTTATAACCCCCTAGAAGAATTAAGAGCTTCAGGATAATCGACTGCAACCTCTAGTGGAATGATTTTCCTGAATCGAATCGCCATAGTTCATATGGTGATGTGGTAAATCCTATCGATCCTCATGATGGTAAGCTCAGATCTTGACCTGACTCTATATAGCCCCAGCTCCCATTTCGCCTTCCAATTTTCTTTTGCACTTGATTCTCTAGAGAAACAAGACGCAACCATAAACCCTCCCCCCCCATCCAAAAAAAAAATCCTTACGTTCACGTGCACTCTCTTCATAATCATGTCTTGATTTTCTCCTTAACAAGGGTCCAAGTAGGTTTGTGGCATGTGCTTGGCGCCCACAGGGTTTTCTTGCCCCCCACCCTCACCAAAAGGAGCTACATAAACCCTTCAACACAAATTATACCATACAGTGCCCATTTTATATTGCTCTCAGAACCTGTACTGAAGCCAACTCGCGAACCAATTGATACATTGATACATACACCAGTTGAGGTTGGGTGAGGTTTGGGTTTAGGGTTCGCTACATGGACCCTTTCGAACCCTAAACCCTAAACCCTTTTGGCTAACAGCAACACAGCTACCATGGCGATTGCGCAGCCGAGGACAGAGACGCCAGCGTGGCGCTTGGACAGGGGCTCCCCGAGTCCTCCGACGGGGGTTTAGGGTTTAGGGTTTAGGCGGGTGCACTTTTTCGTTTGGGTTGAAGGCTTTAGGATTTAGGGACCCCCTTAAGAGGGGGTTACAGGTGTGATATAGGGTTTAGGATTTTGAGGTTTAAGATTCGGGGTTAGGGTGTAGGATTTGGGGGCCTAGATCCTTAGAATTAGAATGATGCAGAACTCTAAATCGAAAAAAAAAATAGAAAGTAGGGAAACATCAAGTGATTGGAAATGTTGACAGTAACCCATTTGGCCCAGTCTACATGCTTTTCAAATATTCACCTCCAAAAAAAAGTACCCCCCCCCCCCGTCCCTAATAACACGTAGCCCCAACGTACTACGTCGTGTGTTACACTTTTTTGTAAAGGAATGTCTTTTACTACTGGAGACGGAGGGCTTATTATGAGAGTGTGTGGAGTACTTGGACCCTTGGGGTTCAGGGCGTTCAGGGTGCAAAAGTGGCTTCAAATAGGGTTGCAGAGCCTGGGCCAAGTAAGCGCCCAACACTACTGTGATGGTGACCCCCGGGAAGAATGGTCTCTACCGCTTAACCACATGCCGTTCGACAAGTCGGTAAGGCACCACCGACACCAAGACAGACCCACAAGGAACTCCAACCCCTAAACTCTGAACCCTAAAGCGCAAAACCCTAAACCCCACGCTCCAAATCCTAAACCCAGAGCCCTGAGCCCTAAGCCCAAATCCTGAACCCTAAAACCTGAACCTATACCAAACCCTTAACCCCAAACGACAAAACCCTAAACCCTAAACTCAAAATCCTAAACGCTAACATCCCCCCTGACCCCCGAGGATGAAACCTGCAACCTGAAGATTTTCGGACGTCTGGCTAGGGAGAGCCTGCAAGGAGCTACTGTTCAGGGCCAGTGAGGGTTCCATGTTTCCATAACTTGGGGGTTGGGCTTAAGGGTTGTTGGGGAGGGTTGTCGGGGGGTTCCATGTTTCCATAATTTGGGGTGAAGGGTTTAGGGTTTGGGGTTTAGCGTTTGGCGCTTAGGGTCCAGGGTTTAAGGCTTAGGGTTGAGGGATAGTACGCCCAATAATCGCGAATCGAATGGAAAAGAAACATAAGGCATGATCCGGAAACTGGGCTGATACAGGGGTGTATAAGGTTTACGGGTTCCGGGCAAATGAGGGGTCCGTGTTTGGGGGGGTCCCAACGAGAGGGATTATACTATTTTCGGGTCTATATTTGGGACCACCAATTCATGGAAATCGCCAATGCGGATTTAGCAGCGCAGAATCTACATGGTTGGAATTATAGGTGTTGGGTTTATAAAGGTTTGGGGGAGAGTTTCAGGTGTAGAGCATAGCCTAGCCCCTAAACCCCAAACCTTACACCTGATTGAGCATTGTTTTGTTACTATAAAATTCTTGATACTAACATGGAGGGCCTACGCGAACTACGCGGAATGGCTGTTTTCCCTGCGGAAGAGACTACGCGGGGATACTTGTGCTATCTTTTGCTATTCAACTGACTACGCGGACTAGGCGGTAGACCTGGCCTACACAACGTTGTACATGAAACATACAAGCAACGCA